GATCTCAGACAATAACGAGTTAAATTTCAAAAAGAAAAGTTTGTAAACGCTTAATAATAAATTTTTTTTTGAAAACATAAGAATTTTGTGTCCCCAGTAAACTTGTTACGAATAAATAGATATCTATTTATATATAATATAATAAATTTTGTCTTAGACATTCTTGCCTTGATTCTCTTCAAAGACAATGATTATGTAAATATCTTTGATAATCTTTTCTTTTCTCTCCTTTCATCTTCCTTCTTCTCTTCTTTCCTTCTGGAAAGTCAACCTTTCCTAGAAAACGTTTCGTTCCTTATGAGAGAGAATGAGTTTTCTCTTCCTTCTTCTCTTCTCTTCTTTTGTGGGAAGTCAAACTTCCTCAGAAAACTCTTCCTTCCTTTTGAGAGAGGAACAGTTTTCTCTTCCTCTTTCTCTTCTCTTCTGAGAAGTCAACCTTCCCCAGAAAACTCTTCCTTCCTTTTGAGAGAGAAAGAGTTTTCTCTTCCTTCGTCTTCTCTTCTCCTGTGGGTAGTCAACCTTCCCCAGAAAACTCTTTCTTCCTTTTGAAAGAGGAACAGTTTTTTTTCTCTTCTCTTCTGAGAAGTCAACCTTCTCCAGAAAACTCTTTCTTCCTTTTGAAAGAGGAAGAGTTTTCTCTTTCTTCTTCTCTTCTCCTGTAGGAATTCAACCTTCCCCAGAAAACTCTTTCTTCCTTTTGAGAGAGGAACAGTTTTTTCTTTCTCTCCCCTTCTAAGAAGTCAACCTTCACCATAAAACTCTTTCTTCCTTTTGAGAGACGAAGATTTTTCTTATTCTTCTGTTCTCTTCTCTTTTCTTCTCTTTTTCTCTTTTCTTCTCTTCTCTTCTCTTCTCTTCTCTTCTCTTCTCTTCTGGGGAGTCAATCTTCCTAAGGGAACTCTTCCTTTCTCAAAAGGAAGGATTATCAAAGATTTTATGAAATATTAGAATAATCATTGCATTTGAAGACAATCGAGGAAATGATGTCTAAGACAAAATTTATTATATTATATATAAATACATGTCCATTTATTCGCAGCTAGTTTGCCGAACGCCCATAAATACCTGTCGCTTAGTGTAAGAAAAAAGGGTTTTTAAACTTTAACTGACGTGACCTCAGTTACATATAATTAAACTAAAACTGTTGAAAAATCGAAAAAGAGTATAAAGTGTCGTATAGTGAAATCTAAAAAATATCTATGTTGCCAAAATGAAACGAATTGAGCTCTCTTTAATATATTTTTATATTGGAATAATTGTGTGCTAATTTAGGCTATTAATTATAATAAATAAATAAATTAAATTCTTAAACATTCTGTATAATTTGTGGACATTACTTTTTTTTTTTAATTTTAAATTATTAATTATTAAGCTTTTGCAATAAACTGATTCACACCAAATAATTTTTTTTATAGCTAATAGAAATGCATTTGCTCCTTTTTGTTATTTAATTCATAGAACTTCCCAAATCAAATAAAATTTATTTTTTAGTATAAATTTACACAATTTGATTAGGTGTCATATTTATAATTCGATTAATAAAAAAAAATGCGATGTAAATAAAAATTAACAAAACAAAAAAAAAAAAAGAAAATATATATATATATATGTAATATGTGTATACTGTATATTCGAAGCTTTTTATCGATGTGAATTTAACGAAAAATAAATATTAAAAAAAAAACATTAATGCTTTTTATTTTTTCACAGGTACAGAATAAAATTCATATTGTCCATATTGTCACATTTTAACTACTGTCAAAGCATTGACAAGTTCAGCTTGATAAGTTCCGTTCCAAAGTAAACACGTCTTTCGTGCTGAGTCCGTTAACCCCTGCTTGGCGTCAAATGGTTCCAAGTTGCCTCTATACTGGGCTTAGGATATCTACAAATTGCCTCCAACTTTGCCTTCTTACCGTCACTTCTCTGGGCTCAACAATATTGATGTATGATCTGCCAAGGTATGTGGATTGGCTGTTAATTGGCTGAGTTCATGTATTAGCCTTGGTAAGATCAACTAGTCCACATATTTAACTGAATTGAAAAATGAATTTTGACAATTACTGGAAAATGTTTTGTAAACGCAACAGCCATATAAAAAGCTTGTGCTGTTTCCCTTAAGGATATCACTGCCAATGATCTAAAACATTTATTCATGCTAATGCTGTTAAACCTCGAAAATCGTTGTTTAGAGACTATTTTCATATAAATGAATCGGTTATACTAAAAAATATTTTTAATGTACAATTCACAAAATTCTAAAAATTTTTTTACTTTGTTATTCTTAATTGATGTTAGTGGCCCTTGTTTGCGTTCAGTAAACTCCTCCAGTTACTTTGATCAGCGCTTGTTGTTGCGAGTTGGTAGCACCAAGTGTGTTATAATATCAATAGTCACTTAGTCTCTTTACTGAAGATGCGGACACTTTCTTTCTAATGTTTTTACATCAGTGGGTACCAAATGAAACACCTTTCTAGCCAGAACATTTTCATACATTCGTACGACTTTAACTATGTCAATTCCGAGGTATAGCTCATACATTGTTCCATCAAATTTAAAACTCGTTACTAACGCTTATAAAACATAGATCTTCCCTAAAATAATGTGTCAGTCCTTGAAAGCATCAAGCCAGTCGAATGATAGATTTCCATTCTTGTTTATTCTTAATTTTTTCTTTCAAGTTAGTGACGACTATTCCCCATAGTTCATTATCCATTTTATCTATATATTTTCACCGCCAATGTTAATGGTAAGTTGATTGTAAAAGTATTGATTGGTTATCTGTTCTCCGGATATATGATCAACCCATTTAAATCAAACAAAAAAAATAACATAAAAAAAGTGTATTATTTTATCTTTATTCAAAATAATTCAAAATAATTTAAATCTAAACACGATCAAAAAACATTTTTAAGATTTCCGGTAGGAAAAATAAATTTTTTTCCGGTGGTAGAAAGCATGTTCTTGCTGGTGGAAAAAAGGATGTTATTGACAGGTAGTAATTACTAACTAAGAGTAAAGTCTATGTAAAGGGTTGTTATAAACACGATTGTAGAGCGGGATTACAGGAGAAATGCGGACGACGTCGCCCACAGTAGAGAGGTGTCAGCTATTTGGCAAGGTGTTCACATTTAATCAAAACACAATTCCAACTATAACGTATTCCCTCTATTTCTAAGTTTTGTCCTTCCCACAAGCAAATATCGTACAAGACCAACAAAACAATTTATTTAAATGTTCGCAGTCTGTGATCCACTGGTTTTTATTTACCATAAAGCTGTAGCTGTAGGTAAACGGCGACTTACCACAGATTTCGATTTTTTTACATCAGGTATCAAATTCTTCATATCTGGAGTTGGTCTATTCATTTTATGAATTAAAACCTTTTTTTCAGAAGATCGTTTAAAAAAAGATATTTGAATCAAATCTTTAATCATACATTTATCCATTTCTAAATATTATTTTTCACTTCAAATTTTTTTAATTTTTTTCTTTACTTTTACCATTTGCTAGTATAAAATTGCAATAATGACTATTTCCAACCTCTACATAAGAGTAAAAAACTCTCATGCATTCATTTACTCTTTTACTTTGTATTTTCTATACCCGTTTCAGTTTTTTTACTGAACCATTTGCCCATATAAAACGGCAACGGTGACTTTGATTGTATTTGCACGCTTTGTATGAACTATGGTTCAGTTTAGTCGAGTGAACCTCTAGTCAAATGTAAAACGATTTTCGCTCAGTCATTTCTTATCTCTTTTGTATTTACTTTGCATAACATTGGGGGTTCACTGTTTTTATTGAACCGCTTGCACGCATTAATTTAAGAGTTATGATTATTTTACGTACATATTTTGCGGGGCTTGTTTTCTCTTTTATTTTTATATTTGTTTGTATGTTTTGTGTTGAGTGTTCAATATTGAGCATAGTCCCAATGGGTATGTTATTTCATTTGCATGCTTTGTAAACAGCGCGGTGCGGTTTTTATTCTGAACCTTAGTATATTTTAAGAGGAATGTGTTTTTTCTTTTATTAATTATAAGTAATGTTGGGTGTAACTAACATATGTATGTGTGATTTTGTTTGTATTATACGTTTTGTGTTTATGTTAATCTGTTTGGAAAAGCTATTATAAAAAATGTTAAGTAGCAACATAGCGAGATATAAAAGGAAGCTTTGTTAAGGTGTTCAGTGAACACTCTGAACCATTCGACGCCTCGCCTCTGGTCGCCCAGATAAATAGGTATAAATTATGGAGGCTTACATTTTATATTATTAAGTAGATCGATGGAAAATTGAGCTGGATGAATAATATCAGGAGAAGAATTATGACGCCTGGTAAAGTATCGTAACGCTCTATGTAAAAGGACTTGTACATAACGGAGTTGATAAAAACACATTAACCTCTGACCTTGTGAAGCATGAAATTAAACGAAATACAAATATATCTACCAATATCCCAATATCACATGAATAATAAATGGAAATTAAGTTCCTGAGCGGTTCCATTGATGTGTCAACAATTTGTTTAGAGTAGTTAGACTTAATATTTACTTTATCTAGATTAGTTTAAAAATTTGATTAAAAAATTTCTCAAAACACAACATAATATTAATACCTATACTGCCAGACAGTTGTATTCACAATAAGCGGTGATCGACGATTTTGGCTTTAAACAGAATTGAAACTATATCGGATTTGTCTGGGAATAAAGCTATTTTACTTCAAAATATATTGGTGTCTGTAGCTCCAGTCACTTTTAGAATATTTTTCCTTCAATGTAGTAAGTGCAAACAGTTTCAAAGTATGAATTGGGAATCACTATTATTGCTATTGTTATCGTTGAAAAAACTTTATAAATAATGAGGTTATAAACGTTTATACTCTGATTTCGTTGTCATAATTTGATAATTATTTAATGAATAAATAAAAAATTGAAGAATGTTTTTTTGAAAGCACCAAAACGTTTATTACTTAATTATTCCGTTAGTTCTTAGAAAAAATTTAAGGAATTAAGTTAATTTTCAGTTATCGCCACTATATCTTTTAACGATATACTAACGATTTCTTGATTGAAAAAAATTAGGTAAGACTATATTCAAATATTAAAAAAATAATTGGTCTCTAAAATATCTATGGGAGTCGCATCAAAATTCCTACAACTCTGATGCTAATTAAAGTATCATGATGATATGTAGTATTAGAATAAAGAGAATATGCTTGGTGATGGATTGCTTTAATTTAGAGAAAATTAAATAAATATAATAAATTGTTTTCTACTTTCAGAACCGCGGTATATATGATGAAGGATACACATTTAAAAACTAAGAAAGCTTAGTAGAGATTAACTATATATACATTTTTTTTTAAATTGATCTAGAGTATTGCAGTCACTTGATGCAATCTACATACTACAATAATACTACAATACTAAAAGTTTGAAAAATGTAACATTATTCGTATTATTTGAGAATATATAACATCTATGCGGTACCAAAATGTTGAAACCACGTCTGCATAATTGCTTACTTTTAACGTCACTTGTGCTCTCAATACCATTTGTTGTGCTTTTTATAATGATGGGTCCACAGTTGTCCACTGAGCCACCATTGCATATTCATGCGTCTTCTTCACTTACGTTCGTATCTGCTGCAACTGGTAGTCCTGCTGCTAACTTATTGAAATCTTTGAGTCCTGAAGCTCGCCAAACTTTAAAAAATGCATCACATGCTCATTCTGCACAACGTTACTCCACAAATACAGCTGTGAGTCTGCCTACTGTTTATCATTTTCTGCCCCATTTACTCGATGATTCCGCATCTTTACGACCTGCTTATTTATATAGTAAGGGTCGCGCTGATGTTAGTATTGTTTTGGGCATACCAACGGTTAAACGAGAGAAGCAATCCTATTTACTTGGCACATTACAAAATCTAATAGAAAATATGAATGAAGAAGAGCAAAATGAAACACTTATCATAGTTTTCATTGGGGAAATGGATCAGAGTACGATTCAATTCATCACGAAACAAATAGTTACTACTTTCGAAGCATACGTCGACAGTGGACTAATCGATGTTATTGCACCAGCTTCTTCGTATTATCCTGACTTTAACAGATTGCGTATAACACTGAATGATTCTTTAGAACGGGTTAAATGGAGGAGTAAACAAAATTTGGATTTTGCGTACTTAATGGCCTATGCACAATCAAAAGGTATGCAATAAATAATATCTATTATAGAGGGCGATCGAACAAGATGTGTATATTTTAAACTTGACCTTGATTGATTATGCCATGTGTTCCTATGATATGTTGTAGTCAGAGGCGAGGCGTCGAATGGTTCAGAGTGTTCACTGAACACCTTAACAATGCTTCCTTTTTAGATCTTTTTTTTATTAGGCAAATAATGTCGCTATTTTGCTACTTAACATTTTTGATAATAGCTTTTCCAAACAGATTAACATAAACACAAAACGTATAATACAAACAAAATAGCACATACATATGTTAGTTACACCCAACATTACTTCCAATTCATAAAAGAGAAAACACATTCCTCTTAAAATATACTAAGGTTCAGAATACAAACTGCACCGCGCTGCTTACAAAGCATGCTAATGAAATAACATTCACATTGGGACTATGTTCAATATTGAATACACAACACAAAACATACAAACTAATATAAAAATAAAAGAGAAAGCCCCTCAAAATATGTACGTAAAATAATCATAACTCTTAAATTAATGCGTACAAGCGGTTAAATAAAAAAAGTGAACCTCCAATGTTATACAAAACCTCCAAGTAAATACAAAAGAGAAAAGAAATGACTAAGCGATAATCGCTTTACATTTGACGAGAGGTTCAATCGACTAAATTGAATCCCAAGTTCATACAAAGCGTGCAAATACAATCAAAGTCACGGTTGCCGTTTTATATGGGCAAATGGTTCAATAAAAAAACTGAACCGTGCATAGTAAATACAAAGTAAAAGAGTTAATGAATGCATGTGAGTTTCTTACACTTATATAGAGATTGGAAATAAATCAAAATCAAAGTCATTATTGCAATATTATACTAGCAAATGGTAAAAGTAAAGAAAAAAATTAAAGAAATTTGAAATGAAAAATAATATTTAGAAATGGATAAATGTGTGATTAAAGATTTGATTTAAATATCATTTTTTAAACGATCTTCTGAAAAAAAGATTTTAATTCATAAAATGAATAGATCAACTCCAGATATGAAGAATTTGGTACCTGATGTAAAAATGTCGAAATCTGTGGTAAGTCGCCGTTTTCCTGCAGCTACAGCTTTATGGTAAATAAAAACCAGTGGATCACAGACTGCGAACATTTAAATAAATTGTTTTGTTGGTCTTGTACGCTATTTGCTTGTGGAAAGGACAAAACTCAGGAGTAGGGGGAATACGTTATAGTTGGAATTCAGTTTTGATCAAATTGTGAACACCTTGCCAAAAAGCTGACGCCTCGCTACTGGTTGTAGTATTTTATTGAAATCACATATCGTCCAAATTGAAATAATCTAATCATGTATTTGTATCGTTCGTCATTTAAAGTAAATACAATGTACCTATGTCTTGAAGTGCTAATCTTCCAGAAGGTGGCATGCAATTAATTGTTGGCGATTTGCATCCCCACTTCAGTTTCGTACATTTATACTTTTTATATTATGTTAGGTTCTCGTTGTTAACGGGTTAGATTCTTACCAACTCAAATATATATATTATATGTTATTATGTGTTATATGTTATATATTATATCCATATATTATATTATATTATAATGATCATAGAATTTACGTATTGACTGAGCCTGAACGTAAATTCTGTACAATGACCGCACTCAAAGAAGGTGAGTGAACTAAGTCTTTTTGTGGGACGGACTAGCACTAGTAGTTTAACAATTATCTATTCAATGCTCCCATACAATGAGCCTAGATAAAGAAAGCGTACCTTGCTGCGTGGTGTTAATGGTCGGGCTGGTACTAGTATCTTATATTATAATTTCGTCGACTCTATATTCTTCTATGGTGGTTTGGCATGGTAAAATCAGATATCAATTTGAGGGCGAATTGTAAAAAAATGTCCGCTTTCACATTTAAAAAATATATATGGTACTAAATTGATCACCCTCTACTTAAGTTTTTTTTATATTCTTCTATGGTGGTTTGGCATGGTAAAATCAGATATCAATTTGAGGGCGAATTGTAAAAAAATGTCCGCTTTCACATTTAAAAAATATATATGGTACTAAATTGATCACCCTCTACTTAAGTTTTTTTTAAATTATGTAAAATTTTTAATTATTTTAATTATTAGGTACATTTTACGTTCAGCTGGAAGATGATATTTTAACTCAACGCCGTTTCATAACAACGATGAAAAAGTTTGCCATCACTAAAAGTGCTCTAACTAATTCGTATCATCCACCTTGGTTTATTTTAGACTTTTGCCAATTAGGTTTTATTGGGAAAATGTTTAAGTCGACTGATCTGCCATATCTCATAACATTCTTTCATATGTTTTATAATGATAAACCGGTCGATTGGTTGCTTGTTAGTTTCATAGAATCAAAAGTATGTACCAATGATAAAGATAAAAAGCAGTGCAATCAGGAAAAAGCAAAATACTGGTTACACTATCGAATATCATTATTTCAGCATATTGGTACAAGTTCATCTCTGAAGGGTAAAGTCCAACGACTGTCAGACAATGATTTTGGATCGTTGCTTTCACCCAATCCACCAGCGACAGTTATGTCTACCATAATTCCATATAAAGATTATTCAATTGAACGCGCTTATTATGGTGAAACGTACTTTTGGGGTCAACCACCAAAATCGGGTGACATCGTGCAATTTACATTTGAAAAACCAATACAAATTCGTCGTTATTTTTTTCGAAGTGGTAATTTGAAAAATCCTTTATATCGTTTCTACAACACAACTGTAGAAGTATTACCCGCCGTCAGTTTAAGCAAATATGCATACTTTTGGAGCACGTACAATTCTACTACCGATGGTTACTTAATTGTTGGAGTGTTTAATGTATATGGTATGACGCACGGTGTCTTAGGAGCATTATTTGGCGCAATTAGAGGAATGCGCTTATATGTCCACAGTGATAGTGAAAATTGGGTGATCTTGAATACGATTTATATAGAAACTCGGATATAACTAATAATTATTGAAAGTAAAAATAAAATTATTATAGTAAGAAACTGATTGTTGCATCATCCCCGTAAAGCAAAGAATTCATTTCGAACATAAAATATATCTGAGAAATATGAATTAATAATACAAAGATTCAATTTCGTATTTTAAAATATGTACATATAATAAATAAAATAAAAGTAATAAAATATGTAATTGAAAATATTTAATTAAAAAAAGATATATGTTTTAAATATGTATATAAAATAGACTAAAAATTAACAAGGTTCCGGTCTTTTGGTACAGGGAAGCACTGTGACCTTAGGAGATCTTATGTACTTGTAATCGATAGTAATCGAAGAGAAGACACTCAAACTTTGGAATTAACGCCAAAATGTCTCTTGTTGATGTTTTTAAAATATCAGAAGGGGATAGTAGGACCCGACTAATTATATTCTCCTTCACGACACAATTTATAATTCTTTACAATTTAATTTAAAGTATTATATTTATCGCTTAATGTAAAAATTAATGATAAAATATTTTCTTCAACATAGAGCTTATGAGACTTTATCGTTTAGACTTATCGTTGTTAGAGCAGATGAAACACCAGAACAAAGTAATAAGCGTGTTGAGTCAAATCGTATTAGATCAGCACGATCTATTGTAATGAAAGGAGCATATTTATATAATAAATTAAATTATATTATGCAAAATTTATAGTTTACATGCAGTTCAATATTCTTATCAATAAGACATTTGTAATACATTGTGACCGAAAAGTTTTCGGAGGTTCTCATTTAAAATTCGCGCGCTGTATATTTTTCGATATTTTAAGTTAAACCCGTAGTTTTATAGGTGTGTCATTGTTGATATATTACAGGATTGTATTTTGTCATGTTTGTTATGGCTGAGAATGCTAAATTAATAGCTCTTAACCTTAGCTATTAATTTAGCATAATGTTATATTATAATCACAATTGTAGGGTTTAATTTTTGCTTATTAACTCAACATAATGATCGTGTGGCAGCACGAAATGTGCACTCCTATTAGTACACAATTCATCCCACACTTTTCACCAACATCCCTTACTCCATTCCAATACCTAATCAATGCTTTCTGGCTTAGATACGTCTAGCACGCTAGATATTAAGCCTATATGACATCCTCTCTGCTTTCAATTACTGAAACGGGGTTGCATCCGCTGAACGTGGCTGACATTTTCCATATTCATTCACATAAGGTGGTTTTAGTGGGTTCAAGTCTCACACGGTGGTTTTTGATGCATTCCACCAACTATAAATAAAAAAACAATTCATTCGCGCTTGGACGACCAGTTAGAAAGGTTAACATCTGGAAAATACTCAAAAGGACATAGTATAAAATAATAGTAATATATATCTTAAATATCATTGTTACTAAAAAAGTGACATTGAGAAAAAAGTCAAAACTTATTACTAAAAAATTAAAAAATAAAAAATTTAAATCCATACATCATCTATTTTCTGGAAAATTCACATCTCTGCAGCTTATGATGTCGTAAATGGTAAGATGCGTTTCCGGGAAAGAATTTTTTTGCGAATGGTTGTGGTAGCAGTTGTAGTTTTCGTAACTAGTATATGTGCATTGATGTACCATAACTCGTCTAACAATGTTGACAAAGAAGTACTAAATCTACGATTACCGATTTCTTTCAAGTTCTTGCCATATTTGCCAGAGGATCCGATTGTATGGCAACCGGTTTATATAATCAGTCATCATAACGAAGAAGTAAGTTTTGTACTGGGATTTATATTAACACCAGGAAACAAGGAAATTGAACTGTTAAATAAATTGAAAGACCTTTTGACAAATATGAATGAAATGGAACAAAAAGCTTCATTAATTGTTATATTTGTAGCAGATATAAATCTTAATAGAGCTATCGCAAGTGTTAGGCTATTAAATACATTTTTTAGTCCGTATACTAGAAATGGTACTATTGACATAATCGCACCACCACCACAATATTATCCGAAGGAATTACAGAAATCATATAAGGATTTCACGGATATTGAAAATTGGAGTAAACAAAATCTGGATATAGCATATCTGATGGGTTATGTAAGTGTAAAAGGTATGTGCATATAAATAATTTATGGAAAATATTTTATTATTGAATAATGTTTATACATGTATTCTGTATGTGATCAACAACAATTATTTAATTAATAATTTAAATGAAATTAGTTAATTCGGTTTCTATCTTTAATTTAATTTCTCTTTAATTTTTTTCTCATTAATTACTCTATTTAAAACGTTAATTGTCTTGAGTTCATTTTTTTAAACAAAAGTTTCTAATGGTGCCATGCCTGATCACACAGGAATCAATAGTAATGAGTCCGCCGACAGTCTTGCGAGAGCAGAATCTGCTATTCAAATCTGTAGACCGGAGCCTTATTTGGGATTAAGTTGATCTTCAACTAGGTCTCTGATTGATAAATACTTTTCAGTCGAGAGAAGTCGCTACAAGCGCAACTGTCGAGGTAACCGTCACGCTTAGGAGCTAGTTCATCCCTAAAGTTATAGTAAGATATCCTTCTACAGCACAACAGAGTTGAGGTTGCTGGTAGGATATTTAACGGGTCACCATGAACTGCGTTATCACCTTAACTCTTCGGGTCTGTCCGAAGAGATAGATTTCCAATCACATTCTCTGTAACTGCCCATCCTTGATCTGCGCCAGGAGGAGGTCACTGGGTCGAGTACTACTCTCCCCTTCTGACATTGGGAGGTCTTCAACGGTCGACATCCTGGCCTTTATTCGGAAGGCGGGTCTGTTGCAGCACAAAAGATCAGTCATGATCACAGTGCTCCGCTCCGTTGGAAGCTAGTACCCCGTTTATTGTAATGGTGTTAGAGGGATGGGTTCTTTTAGATATTTTTACTAATTTAAAATAGTTTTTTATTTTATAAAATAGTCATGACACATTAATAATGAATATGTATATATGTATATAATTTTTCGATTAATTTTGGGGGACCTAAATCCGTGTATGGCTCCTCTCTTCCTGGCTATATACCCGGTTCTAAGTATTAAGAAAATTGTTCAAAAACGAGGCTAGTAGTATGATCCTGAATCAAAGCAATAGGTTAATGGATAGTGTAAACCCGGCTTTTTGGCTTTGAAGCGTGTTTTTGTCCAGAAATTAGTTGAGAAAGTTTTATAGTCAATTGTTTGAAATGTATAATGAATTTTGTTTGTAGATGTATGGATCAGGTTTACAGAAGAAAGAAGTCAGAAATCCGCACTGGATCTTCATGTTAACTGGGATAACTTATTCAGTTCAGCCGTTTAAAGTATTGGTTACGATACTATTTTATTATATGGTTCATATTGTATTGCATTTAGAAGTCTACTTATAAAACAAGATCCTATTTTTACTCTATGCGATTTCTTTGATCCTCGTTCTTTGATTCGTATTTTGTATTTTTGTATGTTTTATAGATCTTTTTATTATTCATTGAATGACAATATTGAATGAATTGATATGATTATTGTGTTCACATGTTATATTGTAAATAATAAATAGACAATACGTAATATTATAATTTTATTTCTGTTATAGGCAAATACTATATTCATCTGGATGATAACACTGTAAGCAGGAAAAATTTTATATCAACGATAATAGCAATTATGGATAAAGAGCATTTCAATGAAAAGAAGTGGTTCTGGTTAGATTTCTGTAATGATGATTTTATTGGAAAATTGTTTAAAACAAGTGATTTGCCATATCTTGCAACATATTTTCAATTATTCTATAAGGATAAACCAGTTCATTTGCTCTTATACAAATATCTTGAAACTAAATTATGCAGTGATAATATGAGCGATAAACTATGCAATTTCCTTATTGCCCAATTATGGTCACATGAACATATTCTGCTGTTTGAAAAAGGTGCTGTAAAACCTGCTATGATATTCGATAAGCGAACTTCTGATAATAATCACACTACAGACAAGAGAATAGGATTTCATAAACACCATAAGAATCCTACTGCGTACACAAAAACTTCTATTGGAACTATACATGGTTATACAATGAAATTAGCTTATTCTGGAGAATCTTATTTCCATGGTGGTATACCACGGAAAAATGACAACATAATTTTTCAATTTGTCAAACCCACTGAATTGACACGATATATTTTTCGCAGTGGAACTGTTAAACACCCTGATGAACGTTTCTATGATACAACGGTGGAAATTTTGCCACTCCCTATGCGCGATCGAATATTTGATACAACTTTAGCACAGCGCTATAACGTTACTAGGGATGGGTTTTATATTGTCGGGAGTTTTAATGACGATGGTATTGCCGTGGGAACAATAGATCCAAATTTTGGTGTACTGGAGCGATTACGACTTTGGGTGCATTCTACTTCACGGCATTGGGTGTATTTAACAGATATTTATTTGGAACAAAAAAATGATTCTGAATTATTATTACGTTAATATATTTACACAAGGTGCAAGATTTATTTTGTATTAAATGAATAATAAAAGTGAAAATTATTAAAATTTAAAGGCTATACATTTTTTTAAATTTTAATTTAAAATTAAAATAAAATACAAGGCTTAAAAATAGCAAGTAGAAACAATACAGCAAATAAGTATAATTTGTTTTTTATTGTTGAAACTTATTAATATGTAATACATAATTTATATAATAATTATTATAATATAATAATAATAATGATAAATGTAATATAATGTTATAATATAATAATGTTAAATGTATAATAATAAAATATATAATAAAATGATAATAAGCAAGCTCCTTATAAAAATATTTAGAAATTTAAAAATTAAAAAACCGGATGTATAAAGTAATATGTAAAAAAATTCCGAAACTGTAATAACTGCCTATACACTTGTATATAACAATGTTTGCTTTTATATAAAAATAATATATGAATATATAATTAATATATATGTTTGTAATAGTTTTTAATATTAATACAAAATAAATTAAACTTTTATTTATTAAAAAAAAAAATTTTAATCTATTTAAAAAAATAATTATTATTTAAATTGATTAAAACAAATTTGATTTTAATTTATTAAAAAATAATAATTTATTACTTTTTTATTTAAAAAAAAAACAATTTTTAATTTAATTTAAAACTTCCCGTTAATTTAAAAAACAATTTCCCTTTAATTAAAAAAACTCTTTTAATTAAATAAATTTTTTTTGTAGGCAAATTTAGCAAACAAAAATTTTTTTTTGGCAATTATTTTAAAAATTTTTTTTTCCTTTAATTTTAGAAAAAATTTAGAAATTTATTGAATTTTTTTGACTTTAATTTGTTAAAAAAAAAATTTATTTTAATTTATTACGGAAATTTAATTTAATTGAATTTTATTATTTTAATTCCAAAATTTAAGTATTTAGGTTTTTTACTGTAAAATAATATAATGATTTGTATATATATGTATATTTAGTGCATATAATTAAATTTTTTATTTTTATAAAAATTTATTTGCTTTAATAAAATTATGGATACCTTTCTTCATTTGTAAAAATTCAAAAACAAAATTAAATTATAATAATAAAATTCAGTTTTTAGTTTAGTTTCGATATAAATACCTTCGAGGTTAACAATTTCAGTCAAAGAATTTTCTTGAAAAATTTTAATATTTTAGGTAGTACTTTCAGAATATTAAATGAATTTTTGTGTTTTATTTATAAAATCCAATTTTAACTGTTATTAGTTTGAAGTACAAAGGAATATATATATATAACAGTTCGTTTAATTTTGGGATAATGATTGTTAATTTTTTTTATACGATAAATCCAATTAAAAAAAAAGTAAAACTAAAAACCATGATTTATTTTTATAATATTTTTATTTTGAACTGAAAAGTTTTTAACTGTTTTGGAATTGTTTCATTTTAATACGCAAAAAAGATTATTTTTATTAGGTCGCATTTATTGTTTTGCTTTGCCAGATTTTTCAATTATTTAAATTGTTGATTTCAATCTAAATAGTTTTTTTGATATCTTTTATCGTGTTTTGCATTTCGTTATCAACTGAAAATTATTATTTTGATAGCAAATAGATTATTTCTAAATCTTTATTTTGAATCAAATGTAATTTATCGCATAGTTAATTCTTTTGGAATGCCTTTTTTTAAAGCGCAGTTAGAATAAATTCAATTTTGAAAAAGTTGAAAAAATTCCCTTTATAAATACCTAAGCAAAGCTTTTAAAATTATTTTTTATTTTTTCTATTCCTAATATGTTTTAAAGTGAATTACATTCATCAAGTTTAAAAATTTCTAAACATTTGATATTAAAATTTACTTAGAACAACTGTAGATACTTTCGAAATAATTAAAAATATTACTTTTAAGGAGCATTTGTATGATTTTATATAAAAAAAATTAATTAATTCAAATAAAAATTAAATTGAATTAAATCCAGATAATTATTTTTATTCACTTTCAGACTGTATGCAGTTATAGTTGAGTCAATTCAACTCTATTCAAACCTTCAGTTATATTTATTTTTGTAGTAGTTTGAATTTTTCATTTTAATTTCCACAGTGGATCTAGTTCGTTAAGTGGATCTTTCATTTCTTCCTTTTCTTTAGAAGCAACTTGTGGTGCAATCTTCATTTGATATGAAGTCATAATGCCACCTAAGTGGGAAAGAATAGGTTATATTATACAAAATTAAAGTATATTATCAAAAAAAAAAAAAAAAATAATTACGTTTATTAAGCACATCATGTGCATGACTCAAAACAATTTGCATCGATTGTTCCAGCGTATTTGAATCGCGTAAAGCATTTTGCCGTTGACACGAAATATGATACCAAACATCAACAATATCTAAAATTATTAAAATAAAAATTTATTAATAAAAAATAATATAATAAAAAGTTAACATACTTATCAGAGTTGGACGTTTATTTTGTGTAGCTAAAATGGCACAAAGTGCTATCGTAACTAACTCAGAGCGTTCAGAGCCTGTTAAACAATTCATTATTAAGGGAGAGTTTGAAGTGTTGAATTCCAAACAGTTTTCCTGATGCACATTCAAGGCATTACTTGCAATACCAATGAGTTGAGCTTGTATACTAATTATATGGGGAAAAAAAATATTTACATTAAAAAAATTTAAGATATAATAAATAATGATTTAAATGTTCGAGCATAACGACGTTGGAGAAGCTTGATTATACTCAAATTCGAACATCTAGATTGATCCGAATCGAAGATTTTTAAGCTACTCGAAGATGTTCGAACTGCTATACTTAAGGATGAACGAACCACTTAAAGATGAGTACTAAATTAGATTAGATTTTAAAACGGGTTAGGAACTTGTCATCACGTCACTGCATACTTTGAGGATTGTTGTGACATACCCACTTTAGTTCCATAAACGAGTAGCAGTTAAGAACGTCATTATCTCCCATGGAGAGATGTTGCCTAATTCCGTTATAAGGGGATAAGCAGTGGATAAGTACCGAAATCTGAATCTGGCTAGATGAGCACTATATTATCGAGATGAGAAGATTACTCGAGCAACCAGATAATGATCGAAAAGCAAATCTTTATGTTTCCGCTTATTTTTTTTTAAAATATATATTTTATATACATTTAATAGAAAATGTTCGAACTTCATATGGTGTTTAATATATTCGAGCTGCTTGAAGATGTTCAACACTTTTGCAGATGATTGACCTATATGATGATGATTAAGCTACTTGATCAAGTTAGTCGAAAATCATTTAACTACTCGACATTGACCGAGCAACTTAAGATAATATTGAACGAAGATGTTCGAGATACTCGAAAATAATTGAGCTACTCGAACTCCATATGGCATTCGAATATTTTTTGAGCGGCTGGCTGTCTATCTAACAATGCATGAGTACAAGCTTACACAGACATCAAAATGCTTGAAATTTCGAACAGCATGAATTATATTTGGAACTCTCATAAATACCCTTTAGTCCAAGCTTTAATTTGTAGAACGGACACATCAATTATAGGATCAGCGCCATGCATTGACAATTTTATACTATATTTCGTACAATATGACAATGTTTTAATTTCAGTACATTTTATGGTATAATCATCATAATGTGTTTCTATGTTAATATTTTGCGGCCAATAGGGATCGAGCATCTAAAAAAAATGTTATTATGAGCAAAAATTCACTAACTTTTATAAAGAAAGAAAATATCTCACCTCATTTGGTGTATGTAAACATACAACAGTGCGTGCTTTTTGTGACCAAACCATTGACCAGAAGTCGTGTATTGTGTTTTGCTGTGGTGTTTGCGCAATAATCAAATTTGGGCAACCAAAACCAAGATTCTTTATTAATAAATAAAAACACATTAATTTTAATTTAAAGTTTTCATTAAAAACAAAAATTACATTTAAATAAGCTGCATTAATGTAATCATCGGTATTTTTTTCTAATTTAACTCGTGCATGATCGTACGGTAAGCAATCCAATGAACGATTTTTCTCTGGAAATAATTTTGCAACTGTAGTTGTACGGTTGTTCATGTCTTTAGCTAACATATCTTGAAGTTCTTTCCATTTCGCAGAAAGTTGTGTGTTACCATTCAACATTTTTATATTTAAGCTTTCGATTAATTTTTCATAACGTTCAACTTCTTTGTGAAAGTACTTTAGTATTTTATCATCGGTAAAAGGATCGAATGGTTTCAGTAGGAATGTTGTGGACGTTGTTGTGGAATGTTTATCTGCTTTTATTTGTGAGACAGAATCCCAATCGAAGTTATTATCAAGTGAACTTAGATCGGAGCAAATCGATATATTATCGAAACTTAGTTTACGTGTCATAGGCGCATCGGTAGGCGTTGATAATTGCAATGGTACTGACGATGTTGAATATACGGTTGATTGCACGGTTTCATTGGGGATTACGGTCTTAATATCTTTCACCTATAAAAAATGTTTTCATTTATAATACCTCTACAAAAATGTATAATTTAAATACCTCAATTGGTTTTTTTATTTCTTCTACCACTTCTGTCTGCGGTTCTGTTGCTGCACCTGTTTGACTTGGTGCAGGACTGGCGACTATTTCTGGTTTTAAAATGGGTGCTGGCAGAATAGGTGCTGGTACATTAGTCGCAGTTTCGGAAAAATCTATACCAGTAAGCAAATCAATATTGGAGGATTTTTTTACATTCCTCGCTGCAGCTGGTGCGGTTGTAGCACTTTTGGTAACATTCGGACTTTCCGTATTCGATTTTTGTATATTATTTGGTGTGCCTTGCTGAGAACTTGAAGCGTACTCAGCTGCACTTTTGGTAGTTTGTGTATTAGCAATAGCAGCACTGCCACTCTGCATGTAAGTGGAGTGTCGTTGTGCTTGTTGCTGTGGTTGTGATGTATACGGGTCCTGTAATTGCTGCTGAGCATTTAGATTAGTAACAGCTGGCATTGCATTTGGCGCAGCAGAATTTGGAACGTTCTGGTGAGCTGTACCATTTGATTGATAGCCATATGGAAGTGTATAGTATTGTAAGTTATCAAGTTTATTTTCTGTGACATGGCCTTTTGTGTGAGATATAACAGGAGACTAAAAATATATATATAAATAATTTTTTGTTCTGTGGAATGATGTTAATTAGGTGCTATAAACTCACCTCAAATCCAGTTGCAATATTCATTTTGTTTGCATTTTCAGAATCTGTGGTTGCAACTTGTGTCGCATTCTGTAAAACTAATGCTGATGTATATTGTCCATAGAATTGTTTATTTGCATTGTTTGTTTGTTGATATCCGCTGCCATATTCATAAATTCCAGTTTGTGGGTTGAAACTATAACCAGGATGTTTGGTCATAGAGCCGTACTTACTGAAAGATGTGTTAGCCGTTGTAGTAGATGTAGATGAAGCCATCATATTCTTAGCAGCCAATTCTTGCATATTTTGTTGTGAACTTACAACATATGGTGCTTGCAGTGTTTGTGGAATTTGTTGCATGGGATTTTGTTGTAAGGAACCTTGAATATTTTGAGTTTGGCCAAAGACTGCGTTTATTTGATTTGGCAATTGAGCGGAGAGCGGTTGTTGACCCTAAAAAAATATTCTGTGTTAGAGAAAATTTAATTTTAATGAATTTCAAAATATATTCTTACCATATTCGCCTGGTTATCATAAGATATAGTTGCATTAGGTTTACTAGTATTGATGCTATTATTTTGTTGTTGTAGATTCGGTGTTGGATAATTTATTGTTTGCTGTGACAGCTGATCGCTGTTGTAAGGCGTAGCTGGCATGCCTCCTATTTGTTTTGTATTACTCGATATAGGTTGTTGTGCAGCGTTAACTCCACTTAAAGTTTGTGGATTTGATGTGCTTGCAATACCAACAAATTGCTGTGGCAAATTAGAGTTACTGGATGTAGCATTAGTGTTATTTACCAGTTGATTTCGTTGCATTAGTCCAGCGTCATAATTCAATTGTTGTGGATGTGCATATTGTTGCATTGTCGGTAACTGTTGTTGCAGTGGTTGCTGCTGGTGTACTGATAATTGTTGCTGTTGCAATGTTTGTTGTGGTTGCAATGGCTGTTGTTGTTGCAATGGCTGCTGCTGAGACTGCAAAGGCTGTTGTTGTTGAGGTTGCAAAAGTTGTTGTTGCTGCGGTTGTAATATCTGTTGCTGCTGATGCAAAAGTTGTTGTTGCGGTTGCAAAGGCTGTTGTTGCTGTTGCAATGCTTGTTGCTGCGGTTGTAATAACTGTTGCTGCTGTTGTGGGTGTGGCAAATGCTGTTGTTGCGGTTGTAAAGGCTGTTGTTGTTGTTGCAAAGGTTGTTGTTGCTGTTGTAAAGGTTGTTGTTGCTGTTGTAATCGCTGTTGTTGCGTCATTTGTTGTTGTTGCAATAGTTGTTGCTGCTGTTGCAATAAATGTTGCTGTTGAAGTGATTGTTGCATGGGTAGTTGTTGTTGTAATGCATTACTAGCTTGACTATACTGCTGCAATAATTGTTGTTGGGTTGAATTATAATTGTTGGCAAGTGACATATTTGCCATATTCTCATTTAGATTAGTAAAACGTGAATTTGGCGATGCTTGTAAAGTATATGCGGGTGGTGCTATATATTGCTGTGGTTGTTGTTGGTGCATAGGATTATAACCCGGTGCACTGGGGTTATAGAATTGCGTTTGTTGCAAACTGTAGGGTGGTGGTGGCTCATTTGGTGCTGTTGAATTTACAGCAGTTGGATAGTAATTACTTGAACATACAGCTTGAGTAGGATTTTCTGAACCCAAAGGACTTGGTCTTACCGGTGGTATATATTGATTTGCAGATATTGTTTGATTTGTGTTTAATGTATTATCTGTTAGTCCTGTGTTAGAAGTGCTAGTAGCAGTAGCATTTTTGGATTTTAAGTAATCGCGTAATTTTGGCGTATTTGAAGTTGTGTTAGTGTTTGGGGGAACAAACATATTGGGTACCGGAGTTTTATTGTTGCTAACACTTTTTAAACGTTGTTGTCGCTCTTCTGATTGAACATCACGAGCTGATTTGAAACGGGTGAGTAGTTTTTGTACATTACCTGTCGATTAAAAAAAAATTGTAAACAATTTTATTTTTAGAGAAATAAACTTTTTTACCTGACAGTTTTTTATAAAATTCCAAGCCTTTAGCAGATTTGGCTAGAAGATCTTCATAAACATCATATGATGCAGCTAATGAAGAGAAGAAAGAATCTCTTTTATGTTTCACATCCGCTAAAGTTTTTAGCACTGGTGCTGCTTTAGCATAAGAATCCGTCAGAGCTTGTAAAATATTTTTCTGTGCTAGTAGATTTTGATCGATTAGCTGTGTTAAACGTTCATGTTTGCTGATTTCTTTTTCAAATAAATTTTCTAGACCCTCCTCGGATCCGTGTGCAATTACTTTAGAAGTTATGTCGTCATCATTGACAGCGATACGTAAATCTGCATGAAATTGAGAACGTTGTGCCTTCATCTCATTTACTTTATTCACAATTAATTTGACTTCTTTAAAAATCTCTGCGGTATTCAGTTCAGAGCTAAGTTTCGGAACTGATTGTTGTATCTCTTGCAATGGACGTGAGAGTATTTTTAAATTATTAACATGAAGTTCCATTGCTTTGCGTAATGTGTCATTTGATTCACCAGCACGACTGTGTGCTTCAGTGTATTTCTGGTATTCCCTAGTAAGTTCTATGAAATGTGTATTAGGCGTTCGCTTCACACCTGTTAGCGTTTGAAATTCATGTTCCTGTCGCTCTTCCTCTGCTAAAACAGTACTCATTTCTTTGAGATTATTTTCAACATCTGTACATATTTCTGCAAGCTGTGACATAGCAGATATTAAATCTGGAATAGCATTATTATTTGCATTTAAAGCTGCACAGCGGTCTACTATGCCTTGTGGTATTTTGTTAGCTTTTTCCTCATTTATATTGAGATTATCTAAAGACAGGGAACTCATGAAGGTAGCTAATTCGGTTTCATGTTGTTCTATACGTTCACCATATTTTCGTAATAATTTTGCTTTTTCTTCACTGTACAACGAACTTGCTTCATGCGCTTTCATTGGTACTAAACGCGCAAATATATCTTCTCCACAAACTTCAGGATCAGTTACACTAAATGGTGTACCTTTAACTAGATTCGCACCCTGTACTGCGCTTATACTTGTAAGTTCAGGCACTGCCTCATGGTATATGAATTCATTTTCATTTTTAGCATTTTTTCGTTTCGCCTCTACTACGTCAGCCGTGAAAACTAGAGACTCCATTATTTCCTTTTGATCTGGTAACCCTTTCGATTCTTTACGTGCTTCCTCCAGCTTATCCCAGGCAGCCTTTAAAGACATTTTATTATAATAAGTTAAATTAAAACTTTAAAGATTATTTTTCATACCTGATATAAGGTAACCCGTTCACCCATTTTTTGCTGTTCTTCGGAATGCTGTCCTTGGTATAAAAACAATATACAATTCAAATATGCAATTTTGAAGCGTACATATTTTTTCCACAATTTATAAACTGAACTTTCAATCACTTGTGACACTGGACCATCATCACCTCCAGTCAGTAGGGCCGCCAACGCAGCACCATAATACACAATTATCTGCGCGGTCACTTTGGCCACAATATTAGGTTTACGATTATCAATGAGTGATTTTTCCAAAATGCACTCTTGTGCTTGTGCATAGGACACTTGTTGCATGAACACCAAAAGCTCAGTTGTCATGAAGTCATTACCAGAGTTGACGTTAGTGTAGCGTTCACGTAGTTCACCAAAGGCCCAGGCGGCGCATTGGAAGTGTGTGCATGCCAATTTCATGCCATCTACATCACCACGCGTAACTGAAGCACCCACCTGTGTATGAGATGCGGCGATATTGAAGAGCACAGCAGCCATTTCAAAGCGCATATCTGTGACTTCGTGTACATGGCTTTGATAAAGATCCTTCCAGGTAAAAGTGAAGAAGTTATTGCCTGCAAGTTGTGGGAAACGATTTTGCAGCGAATGCAGCTGACAGTAATAACGTTTCATTATCGCATAACCATCTTTTGTGGGATGCATGGCTTGATTGCGTAGCGTCTCCAATGCAAATACATCCTTCGAATAGGCATCGGGATTTTCTTGATACACCTCTGCAATATACTGTAATTAAAAACAAATATTATGACTAACTGAATATAATTGTTTATTGGATTGTTGTTTTGTTTGTTTTTATTACGAAATTGCGTGGAAAGAGAAACCGAAAATTGCAATAAAAAGATAATAATCAGATGACTCAGCAACAGAATTTTTTAGCATTTAGCATTTGTGAAATTCGAAGCCTTTGTGTAACAAAAATACATTGATATGGTTTCTTTATGACAAAATCTTTTGTTAACAATACATTTTTGGTTTTATTAATTTTAATAGAAAATAATTGAAGCAGTGAAATATGTCCCACTAATATAAACGATATCATATTGATGCTGCGGGTAATGCATATTTTGAATTTCTGTTAGATTTATATTGTATTTCTAGTCATTATTTTTTATATCAAACAGAATATTACTTGCATATAATTATTTTCACCTTTTTTAAATTGGCGAAAGACGTGCCCTCCGGACTCGACTTTAACGCAAACCAAAGCATATGCAAACGCGGCACAGCTTCCATATTTATATGTTTTATTATTTTAACTTTACAGCACTACAAAAATCTTAACTTCTTTATAACATATATATAATTAAATTACAAAAACATGAATTTAATGAGCAGCACAATCTTTTCTTTTGCAATCGAATTTCTTTTACTGTGTTTTCTGCAGTAATTTGTGTCAAAATTTAGTGATGCCAACTTGCTTAAAAATATAGAAATCGCCGGTTGCGTATATGTACAGCGGCTATTACCAGCGGCTATTCTCAATGACTTTAACGTGTATTTCAGTCGTTATTTATAAGCACGAAATTTAAAATTATTTTAAATAACTTATTGTTTTAGTCATTGCCAACAAAGTACATATGTGTTAAATAAACAGATGTATAAAAAGTAAGATTCCACAAAAGGGGAAATTGTTTATTTTAAACATTTCCCTATCAGACAAGAGAAGTAATACTATGTTCAGATAGCAAAATTTTCTTAATTTCGTAGAAATAAAATTAAGTTAATTTTGAAAGTGTTCATACTGCCCCAAATGAAGGAAATCATATGTTTTTTGTTTACAAATCGAATATTAAAAATTATATGCTCCAAATACCATTTTTATTTGGGAAATTTTGAATGTTGATTATTATAACTATAAAGGACAGCTTTCAATAGTTTTATTAGCTTTAGCTAATTTCAGGTATGGGAATTATTAATTTCACTTTATTTTAAATTAATAACAGTCACAGTTTTTTCTGTATATTCAAACTTAAACATTTGCACTACTTTCAAAATATTTTCCCGGTTTTATTAAAGTCAACTGTCACTGACATTTATTTAAAAAAAAATGTCTCATTTTCGTTAGTTTTAAACGGATATAGTTACATTTAAAATTTCCCTATTAATTTCAGTCTTCGTTTCAACGAATTTAAAGCCATTTTCTTTAATTTCGTTATAGCCTTAAAACTGAGTTTTGTATAAAAAAACAGCTTAATTTCACTGAAACGAAGATGAAATTAAGATTTTTACTAAATTAAGGTATGTCTGAACATAGTATACTAATTTAGTTTTATCATTAGTTGCATCAGTTGCGCAAAATACCTTTTTCGTCTTGGAGTTGCTGATTTTGTTTGAAGAATACTATTGAGCACTATTATAGCTATAATATCAGATTTATTGCTTAAATAGAGCCGAACATTTTTTGGACTGTAATTATCGGAATAAATTTTGCAGTACTATTGACCTTTATGTTCTAACTGTTGCGATTCTTTCTACAATACATTCCCAAAAAATGATTTTCGTGGGTTAAAGCCTCACACCTTCGCTTGCTGCTTTGAACACTCTACTACATATAGAACCTTAAGCAACAAGAACATCTGAAATTATAAAATTCAGGATATTATTTATGCACATTGGAAAGACACTGAACTTATGGGTCTATAAAGGAACTTCTGATCTTATGGGTCTTAAAATGATGGCAAAAATGATGATGATAATAAAAACCGAAAATTATATATATATTTTTTCATATTAATTCTGATTTTAGTATCAGTTTTGACGGTAGTGACTATTTTACTTAATAAAAACTATTGTTAAAAGGGTTGTTTCGAACACTAGTGAATTATAATAACAAAATTTTTGATTATTTTTAAATAATTGAATTTTTGGTTGATTTTACATCTTTTTCGAGTATCGCTCTAAGCTTAAAATTTGGCAGGGCAGAAGCTCAACCTTTGGTCTTGCGAGGTCAGAATCTGCCATTTAAATCTGTGGAATGGAGCCATATTGTGGATTAAGTTTGTCTACAACTAGGTCTCTGATTGATAAATGGTTTTCAGCCGAGAGAAGTCGCTACTGGCGCGACATTCCAGGTAACCATCAGGCTAAGGAGCTGGTTCATCCCTAAAATTATAGTAAGGTATCCTTGAGGTTGCTGATGGAATATTTAATGGGTCACCATGAACTGCGTTATCACCTTAACAAAATAGATCTGTCCGAAGAGATAGATTGTCGACTCTGCTTAGAAGCAGACGAAACTTCCAGTCACATTCTCTGTGACTGCCCTGACTTGATCTTGGCCAGGAGAATATCACTGGGTCGAGACCTATTCTCCCCTATTCAAAATGCGGTTCTGTTCGTTTAGGGTCTGTTGCAGCAAAAAAGATCAATCGTTGGGGGCTAGTACCCCGTTTATTCCTATTCCTACTACTGTTCAAAACCTCTCTGAATATTTTTTTATTAAAATTATTTGAATTATGTTTATTTGCAAAATAAATTAAAATTTATTTCGTGCTCGTAATATTTATTAGTTCCAAAAGTGATATATTTCAATACTAAAATTATATTTTTTTTATTTTAAATATTTTAAATTAGCATAAATTTTGGCAAATTTTTTGAGGAGTTTTATTTTCATTTTGCAAAATACAAAAAAAAAAAAAATAAAACAAATTTTGTGCTTACTTCCGCTCATAAAATAATAAAATGAACCTAAAATTTTACTGCCAAGCATCCTTCCTGTGAAGCTTTCTTATCCTTAATAAACGTTTTGTTTTATGCTCTTAAAATGCTGTTGCTGTTGTTGTTGGCATTGTTGTATCTGCTGTAGTTGTTGTTATTATTGTTGTTATTTTGTTTTACAATGTTGCATATAAAAAAGAAACGCACTAAACTAAATCTAAACCCTCTGCCTTTGTCTGTGCCGCTGCCGCTGCCGTCGCCATTGCCATCGCCATTGCCATTGTCACTGCATTTTATTTTGTATGAAGGGGAACCACACAACATCCTCCGCGCAGCACAGTTTAAGCATGAAAACAACAACAAAACAACCGCAGCTTTTACATTTCGTTTCGTTAGTGTTGCTGTGTAGCTTTCGGCCGCAATTATTTGTCCGGGTTTTGTTGCAATTTTTTGCGCCTTTGTTTTTGGATTTGTTGTTTTATATAAAACCGCTGTCTGCAGTTCATGCCAAGGACGTAATTCGGTTAAGCAAATTAAATTGTGCGCGTTGGTATCCTGAATTTATACAAAAAACAAAGTAGTTTGAGGCAACCAAAAAAAAAAATTTTTCTGTTTTAGTTTTATGTAATAAAATTTTAATATTGGCTTTAGAACTATTTTTTTACCGAGATAAAAAAATAATTTACTACTTTAATATAGTGACAAATGAAGAATTGAGAAAAATCTGTTATAGAAAAAATATATGTATGCATTTTTGTATAAAAATCAACATTTTAGGTTTTCTGTGAACCCGCCTGTTTCGATATATGGTAGTAAGCCAGTAATCAGTAACCAATTTACATCTAGCACGGTTTTGATTGCTACACATGTCTAAACGAGATGCCAACGCAATTGAATATAGCTTTAATATAGGTTCCCAGTCATAAGAATATTTTCGGCAATTACAAAACAGACGAACTGGTCAGACAAGGTGCTGATGGAATCACTGAAAACACCTAAACAATCTAGGCATATCGTCGACATTATACAAATTATTACAGAGCTAAACTCTGTAAACACTTTTCAATAAAAGATGGGAAGACTCAACGATTTGTAGGCAACTGTATAATTGCCATTAAAAGGAAATCTATTACTCTCATTGAGATACTCCGTAGAGATATCAGTCTTTTGGTAGATTTACTTAAAGGTCATTGCAGATCAGATAATCATGCTAGACGATTAAAACACCGTTTTAATTATACCTGTCGCAGTTGTGGAAATAACGATGAAAGTACCTCCCATCTGCTTTGTTCTTATCCAGCACATGTTTGTTCTGGCTTATCACTCTAGGGACCTTCTTATTTAAAGATCTTGATCAATTGTAAGATCTTCATTTAAATGCATTATAAATTTCACAGAGTTAAGGTGGTTTTAATACTCTGAGTTTTTCCTTATACGTAACACAACGGTCTATAGGCTTAAGAGGACCACTTTGGATCGCCGGTATAACCTAACCCTCCTAACTTAAGTCAGTAATAGTTTTTATTAGTTGTTTTAGATATCGCACAGGCGATAATATGTGTTTAGTTCCACATTCGCTAATGATACAGCTATAATAAGTATTAATTCAAGTTCTACAACTATCACAATAATTTTGCAGTAGCAATCAAATAAAGTGGTGAAATGGCTAAGTTTCACCACTCTAAGGGAATTAGAGTTAATGAATCGATATGCATTCAAAGTATGTTTGCTCTAAAAAAGGAGGCATGCCCAACTTTGATTGTTGGTGGAAAAACTATTCGTCAAAAAGATTGTCTCAGCTATCTGCGAGTAACACTGGAAGAAGATTGATATAAAAAATCTTATAAAATTTCTAATCTTAATTGGAGTGGATTGTTGGTCCTAAATCAAAACTTAGTTATCTAAAGCCATCTATCGGATTATGATTGAATTACGCTAGATGGCGTTAAAAAGATGAGATTTCGTACTAAATAAATCTTTTGACAGTTTGATAATTGATTGACTTAGTTTAGTTTGAGCGCGTTAAAGATGGATACTAGAAAAGAGAAAATATTTTACAGCTTTTCTTTGATGAAGGCGAAAACGCAAGCCTACGGCTAAAAATTTGAATACTGTTTATGGTTCTGATACTGTAATTTCTAGGTCAAAAATGCACTACGCATTGAAAGTCCACTTATCAAAAATATCGATAAAATCACGGAAATTGTCGAGTCCGACTTTTATGTAGGCACTGTTTACTGTTCGATTGCCCGAGAGCTAAATATTGCATAAAAACTCGAGACCGTTTGCAACAATTTGGGTAAAGATAAATAAAAAAAGAAGCTCAATGTTTGGATGTCGATATATTGGAGACACATAATTTAACTCAAAAAACCTCATGGACCGAATTTAAATCCACGAATCGCTGCTAAGTCGCAACAAAATTGTGACTGGTGATGAAAAGTGAATTGCTTACGACAACCTCAAGTGAATACGGTTGTGGTCAAATCGTGGTAAGCCGGCTGAAATGGTGGCCAAGCTAGGATTGTCGGCCAGGTAGGTTATGCTGTGTGTTTGGTGGGATTGAAAGGAATCTTCTACTATTAGTTGCACTCCTACGGCAAAACTCTCGAAATTGTACTGTCAACAACTATAGCTAGATCATTAAAGCAACCTACTAGAAACCTATTAGAAAACTCTTAGTAAGACACAATCCAAGGAGATTAAAAA